ACATGTAATGCCCAATACAGTTTTTCACCGTATATAGTAGGGGAATTTACCGTTAACCATTTAATAGGTTTTTATTGTTGCATTTTTTACAGTTTTTTACCATTAAATTCATGGTCATTTTTTACAGTGAAGGTTTAGGGTTGGGTTTGGTGTAGGGTATATTTCCAACACGATAGAGCATTAACTTTTAGCGACAGTCCCCAGATATTTGAATTCTAAACTGCCGCAATACGTACCTGAAGCAACGCAATAAAAACACAGCAATACGTACCTATATCAACGTAATAAAAACGTGAACGCCAGGCTTCACGTATTAAACCCTTGTTTTAGCTCCACTCAGTCAACATTTCTCTTTGAAACTGCGGCGAAACGTGCAGTAAGGTACGTAAAAACGGTGTTGCAGAAAAGTACCCAGAGGTACTTATTTTTATGAGACCAGGTTGGTTACTTTACTAGTTACTTGAAAAAAGTTATATGATTACGTAACTCGCGTTACTTGTAATGCGTTACTCCCAACACTGACAATAACAGACGAGAATTGACGTTCAAAAAAGTTTTAAAATAATGAAAATATTCAAACTTGCTATGCAATTGTATAGCTACCATCTAGCAAGTAAACTTTTAAAAACAGTCTCAAAAGCAAAGTTTTCTACAAGCCATACAGGAGACCTTACCTGTACAAACTTTCTGGCAGCCTATGAAACAAAACCCTCTGTAGGCAAACACATGGCTCCTCATTGAGAAGACATTATGAAGATGGATAGAGTCTTGAGGATGGTAGCGAGATGCTGCGAGTTTCTTCCTGGCGCACGTATGAACCCAACCATCACAGACACAAAGCAGATTCTCCTGTCCAGCACGGGACAAAAGTCGTCTCTCTCTCTCTCTCTCTGACTGTCTCTCTCCCACCTCACTCGTTCTCCCTTCCTGTTCTGTCAACCACTCCTAGCCTGACACAAGGCACTCATTCTTTCAGTCAAAGAACTCCTCACTTGTTCACTAACCTTGCAGAGACCCCTGCTGCAGAAATAAGTACATTTCAGGAAAGGCTAAAACTCACTTTTCTGCAGAAGGTGCACAAACGACACTGGCTTCCACAGTACTGTTCCTCTCTTTGAGGGTTTCTTGGAAAGGTGCCAGAGTACTGGAGACCTGAGGTCAGTCCGGCTTTTGTCACTGTTTGTATAGTCCTGTGTCAGTCCTGACTCTTACTGGCACCACACCAAAGAAAAGAAAAGCTCTTGTAGGATCAGGTGCTTCTCTCCAGTGAGACACAGTAGTCATCCTCCAGCTGATGGGTGCTGTGTTTCTCACCGGTTAGCATTTGAGACTGAGCTTAACTCTTTTCCCATCTCTGTTTTGATTCTCACCATAATTAATCTCCTCGCTAACAGGAGGGGCATGTCAAGTGTTTTGGAGTGGTCTGCTGGCTCTAAGCCAGCCAAAAAGAGCTTGATGTTTCATGATTATGAGGAATGTTTTAGAAGAGGGTTGCTTTTCCTCTCACTTGTTAATTTGTCACTTTAGATGAAGATTATGGAATAATAATTTATGGGTTTTGAGATCTCATGTGAATTTACTCAGAACCTGTGAAGAGAGCTTCAAAATTACTCACTTAAATTCTATTATATTTAGCCTATGACTGAGATAAAAACTTGCATTATGAGATCCTATTAAAACAATTGTCACAATTATTCCATTTCATAATTATGAGACAAAAAGTCGAAATTATGACATACTAAGTCATGATTATGAGATGAAAAGCAGAAATAATGACATAAAAGGTCAATTGTAGAATTGCAATTAATGTAGAAACTGAGACAAAAAGTCTTAATATGGCCCTTCATAATTATGATTTGTTAATATCTCATACTTATGACTTAGTATATCATAATTTTTACTGTTTCATAATTTAGATCATTTCAAATGTTATGTCATAATTAGGATTTAACAAAGCATGATTTTTTTTTCTTATGTGGTAGAAATGGCTTCTTCACAAGTGAAGAAACAATAGGCTATATCTCTGCCCTTACGAAAATTAACCATGGTTTTACTACAGATAAAACCAAGGTTACTAAAAGATAAACCAAGGTAACCACAAATCAACCATGCCTTAGCTACACTAACCATAGTTAAACCATGATATTCGTTGTAATAAAACTGTTATACATATGGTTATCAATACGCCAAAAAAGGTTACTACACTTTTACTATTATAAAACCATGGTAAATGTTCATAAGGGTGGGTCCCTGGAGAAACATGTTTATTCGTCAAGAAAGCTTGTTTGCATATATAGCCTATGTTTGCACATTAAATTACACATCCGTATTCTGTGAAAGAAGCTGTGAGGAGGATTAATTGAGCCTCTTCACAAAAGTATTCTTTTTTTCTTAAAGTGTATCTTTTAAAACCATTTTCAAGTCTTTCAACAACCACGAAAGTAAGATTATAAAAACACACTTGTGAAGATGCGTTTGCCTGAGGAGATTAATATGGTAACAGTTCGTGTCAGTATCGGATAGACAGTATCCTACAAAATGTATCTGATTAACTCGTTGTTTTTGTAGACCAAGGAAAATACTAAGGTCAAATATATTCATACCTGACAAATCATAAGGTTATTTTGCTTATGTCTGATATGAACAACAAGAAAAATTAACAATCAACTGTAACTCAGAAAAGTATCTTCGGGTGCTTATGGAGTACAATAATAAACATCTGTGTGACTCAGTTTCTGCAACTTTCCCCTGAGACTGAAGTTTGCTTTTAATTAGTCAAGACGAAAAGAAATAATATGATACAGCTGTCCCTGGATGATTGAACAATTCAGAATACACATTTTCACAATGGACAGCGATACATTCCGTGTCAGCATACAATACTGAATGATGTGGCAACAGTGCCCTCTAGTGACTGATCAACACTTCATTAAACACAGAATATCACAAAATGGACCAGGTTAGCAAACCCTCATCTCAAATCTTAGTGTTGTCTTAAAGAATCTAGAAAGCAATGTAATTATATTGAACTTTAAAATAAAGCGGAGACCTTGCCAACTATTTACTCTTCCCCCTTTCCAAATATAACATGTAAGTGTGAAATAAACCTGTGGCAGAAGCACTCAACTCCTAGGTCAGCAAGATTGCTGTTTGTTCTGTTTCTTCCTAAGGAAATTTCTCATGCTCACTCAGAATGCATCTCATTTCCTCCTGTGTGTCCCACATGTTAAATGTCCAGCTCAAAGGCTTGTCACCATAGTGGGGGAAGCAGGGCAGCTGGAGGGTAAGTGGCAGGTGTGGAAGAATTTAACTCTCGCTCTCACTTTTACTGCGGGAAAATGTCCCTGCCATGGCCTCGGTAAGAAGGTGATTTAGTCAGCACCTGAAGGCCCTAAAACCTAAACCAGTGTATGGCTTTCATGGTATGTCCAGCATGCAGAAAATACATAAATTGACTTCACTTTGATAGATAGATAGATAGATAGATAGATAGATAGATAGATAGATAGATAGATAGATAGATAGATAGATAGATAGATAGATAGATAGATAGATAGATAGATAGATAGATAGATAGATAGATAGATAGATAGATAGATAGATAGATAGATAGATGGATAGATGGATAGATATTAAATGATCATAATTATGAGATAAAGTCAACATTATGATATACTAAGCCATAAGTATGAGACTTTAAAAAAAAATCAATTATAACATTAAGGGCCATATTATGACTTTATATCATAATTGACTTTTTATGTCATCTGTCATCATTTCTGATATTCATCTCATAATCATGATTTAGTATGTCATTATTTTTTACTTTTGTCTCAAAATTATGACAGAATATCAATTTATGTCAAATTGTGTTAATAATTTTGACTTTTTATGACAATTGCTTCTGTCGTACTTTCAGCTTATCTCATAATTACATGACTTCGTTTTTATATCATGCTTATTTATTTTTTATCTCAAAGTCTTACCAAAGCAGATGGTTAAAATTAGGGGGAAAAAAGGTAAAATTAAAACAAAAGTTGTGATTTGCAGGTTTTATTTGCCTGTTCTGATAATGCAAAGTAAACATTTCAACTATATAACTAACTGTTTAATTATATAAATAGAATACATATATATATATATATACCTTTAGTGTGCGTGGACCTGCTACCGTCTAATTCCTAAGCTCTCGTCTTTGCATTAGTAATTAAAAATGAAATACTAGCCCAGATGCAAAAATAGGAAAGCCCTGTCACTCTGGGTCAGACTTCGGATTTAAGGCTGGAATCAATTCAATGAAGTTTTTTTGTCCTCCATAGTATTATGTTTTTAAAAAGCAAACTGCTGCGTTAATTGTAATTAAATGAGATCTTACGGGAAAACGAGGAAAGAGTTTTGAGTTCCCTGAATTAAAAGGATGATATTTTTGAATGTTTTTTTCTAGGAAATGCAGTGCTACAAACATAAACTATCCTTCTATTTTTATTAAAACAAAACAAAACAAAAAATATGGATTTATATAATGATTTTTCATCTAGCTTTCAGGCATACAGTATTCCCTAAAACAACATTTTTGTTTTATTTACATGTGTTTTACTGTGAAAATAATTGTTTTAAAGGCTAGTTGTACAGGTTGTTTTGATTTTTAAAAAAAATAAAAAAATTATATGCATCCTTTATATGAAAATGAAATTTTCATTTTCATTTTTAATTATTTTATAGCACATATATTAAGTTTAAATGTTTTTTTTTTTTTTTTTTTTTTCAAATTTAAATATAATTTTATACTTTTTTCACTCCATTCTGTCTGAAGTTCCAGATATTTAAAGAGACACAAATTCAGGAACCCAAATATAGAAAACAGAAACCATGAATTCCAATTCACACATCACATCATACACAAACCCAAAAGCATCAAATCATACAAAACCCCACATGTCCAGTGATTGACATCACTGTTAGGGTTTGTGGTTCGGTTTAAGAAATAAAATGAAACTAACTTGAAATCGGACCTTCCTGAGCATCATATTAGAATCCAGGATGGTGGAGGCTTTCCTGCTGTCTTGTTGGGATCCTGAACGTTCAGTATATGTCGTATTCCTCATTAACCAACCTGGACGAACGGCCTATTTCATCCTGACACACAGATCTGACCTCCAGCAAACTCTCAAATCATTAACTCCAAAAACTTAATCCTTCGTAAATAATTAAAATGTTTTTAATGAATCTCAGACTGATCCTAAATTCCCATGTGACCATGTAAGTTCCAAGCCAATGCTAGTCCCTCTGCACCCTCTCACTCTTCCATGTGACCCTTTAACAAAGCCTGGCTCAGTACTTATCTGTTTGTTCATTCATCCGAAAGAAAGACCCGCCCTCTTTTGTGACCAGGATAGTGGTCATTAACACCCCTCCTCTTTTTCCTCAAACCCAGACAGGGATACAGCCCCTCTCCTGCTCTCAAGGGAACCATATGGTCACCTACCGATTTGTCTGGGACAGTGTGAGAACTGCTCTGTTTATATTAGAGCAAGCTTTACTTCCCCTCCGTCACAATCACTGGCCACACATCACTCCCTCCAGACTTCACCTCATTATTCCTCCATTGCCAGAGATCAGATAAGAAATTAGGTCAGGACAGATACAGTCCCTATTCGAGCGGCCTACACCCTTCAGTCCCTTCATCAAACCCACAAATCAGATGTTAACTCTGCTTTCTCAGCCCTGCCCTAAAACTTTCCTCGTGGATTAGAGGCAACATCAAACATCGAGGCAGATAGACCGTGTTTCACATACAGATCATCCCTGTAGATGTGGGTCACACACTTCACGGCCTTCAGCTGTGCTCAGTGACTATGACTTAGTAAAATATGCAGAAACACAAATTTATGAGTCAATAAGTAAACACTGTATCAAGTTTTAACCATTTAAAGACACAATGATAAGAGATAAAGTGCAGGTTAACCTTATCACTAGGGATTCGCCAATATTACATTTAGTCATTTAGTAGACACTTTTATCCAAATGAGGACAATAGAAGCAATCATAACCAACAAAAACCAATATTAAAAAAATTATGTTGTTGTAATGTTGTCCAATAACCAATATATAGGCAATATTAAAATTCTGTACTATTTTTTCTAAATTTAAAAAACAACCTAAAATCAAACTAATGGTTTAATGCATCGCAGCCAGTGTTATTTTAGTATCATTTATATACTTAATATTATTTATATTATTGTCATTTGGATTAGCTTTTATTTTTAGTTTTCATTTATGTTTTATGTATGTGCTTGTCATTTTAATTTTTATTATTTCTATTTAGTTTTCGTTGATTTTAATTTCAGTTTTAGTTTTAGTAATTTTAGTACTTCAATTTAAACATTTCAGTCAATTGCAAGGCAACATTTCTAATTTTCTTTCAAGTATTTCATCCAATATTTATATGACCCTGGACCACAAACCCAGTCATAAGGGTCAATTTTTTGAAATTGAGATTTATACATTATCTGAAAGCTGAATGAATAAGCTTTCCATTGCGGTATTGTTAGGATAAGACAATGTTTGGTAGAGATACAACTATTTGAAAATCTGGAATCTGAGGGTGCAAAAAAAAAAATCCAAATATTGAGAAAATCACCTTTAAAGTTGTCCAAATGAAGTTCTTAGCCATGCATATTACTAATCAAAAATTAAGTTATATATTTATGGAAGGAAATTTACTAAATATCTTCATGGAACATTATCTTAATATCCTAATGATTTTTGGCATAAAAGAAAAATCTATAATTTTGACCCATACAATGTATTGTTGGCTATTGCTACAAATATACCCATGCAACTTTTATGGTCCAGGGTCACATATCTTATTCCAGCTAAATTTCGATTACTGAAAATGTCTTTTAATAGTTTTAGTTCACAATAACAACACTGATCGCAGCATTGAAAGATAAAAAGGAGACATTTAAAGATTAACTCAAAAATGATATTAAATGATGGCAAATGTAAGCAAAATAGAAAAATGTAGGAAATTAACATGACAAATTAAAAATGGCAGTATTGACCAGTAAAAAAAAACTCTAACCTGAGCACATAACCAATATGGCAATATATCATGCATCCCTAATTATTACAATTATTATTTGCATCATCTAAAAAGACAAACAGACTGCACATTATCCCCCCAATTCATAACTACTTACCTGAAACATAAATAAATGGACATAAAAAAACTAAAAAAAAAATAGCAGTTATGAAGTCAAATATACAGTTTAGCATCATTATACGCAACTCCATCATAACCAATCAGAATCAAGTATTCCAAAGAGCCATGTCATAGCAGATGTAAATGATCTCACTCACAGTAATTGTATGAGACAAGGTGCCCATATCATTGTGGAAGTGATTCACTGGCAAGAATCTCCTCCACTCAACCATACTTAATGCATTATTAACTCTAAATATCATTGCCTCATCTCTGAGATTCCTCACATTCTTGTATGAATCCAGAACAATCTCCCAGTCCACTAGGCCATGACCCAAACCAGGCATAAGCATTGAATTTATCATTACAAAAAATACTCACCATTCTTACAGCAAAACAATGACTACAATCAGCCACTTAAACACAGCACTACTCAACAAGCCACACGATTTGAGGCACTGATTTATGATTTGATGGCACTATTTATTGCTGATGTCTTTAATGCATTGGGTTAGGGATTTAAAATAACCCCCTAACGCTAGCCTGCATCACTAATACACATATCACACAGCTACAATACTCAAAATCCTGGGCAAAACCACATATTAAGGCAGGAAGAGCCCATAAAATACACTTTAATTAAATCTGACTTTATTATTGATTAAAGGTATTCATAAGTATATTACAGCAGAATGGAATGTCGTAACCCTCCCCTTGGCTTTCCATAATCACCTTTGAGTGTGCGCTGATAAATGTATTTGTTAACATTAAGGAAATACAAAAAAAAAAATCAATTTTTAATAACATCTGAGAAGCCAGAGAGAATATATTTTCCTGTTTAGCCAAATAAATGCAGCAATGAATAAAAAGAAAAAACAACAACATTTAAACAGATTATGTGTAATATTACTTACAAAACAACAGAGAATGAAAAATCCTCCTGTTTAGATTATTATGCAAACAAATGATTACATAAATATAACTGCACCAAAAGGGGGGGAAAAACTAAAAGGCAAAAAGCATTTGTGCTTTTTTTTTTGATGTAGACAATGATATTCATATTCACTAACAGCTAAACAGCAGAGGTGTCATTTTAAAGAGATGAAAAATGATGAGTCTGAATTTGGACTGCACATTTAATGCAGTGTCAGTTCTTATTGCACAAGCACAGCTGATTTATTATTCATCACCCACACATTCATTTGGTACTACAATATTAGGTCTGTTTCCATATTAGAAACCAGCATTTATTCTTTGATGATTAGAAATAAAACCAAATTGCTAATGAGCCGATGCGGATCACGTGGTTTGAAAAAAGGTCAATTAGGTTGCAACTCCAAACAAAATCCTTGCAACAATTATTAAGTTTTCAATTTGAATCTATCTCTTTGAAGGGTCAGGAGGGTTCATACAGGCTTATAACGCATCTGCTGTAGGATGACACTGATCTTCCCTTGATGTCTACAGGTGCAGTGCTTTATTTTACTCTTTTGTCTTTTCTGGCAGGTGTTGCCGACTGCACTTAGTACTTGAGCAGCTGAAGGTCCAGTTTATATAAAGGTAGATTATTTTCCTTTAAGACAAACAGAAACACAGAAGCATTGTAGCCCATGTCAGAGAATGTTTTGAGCGCTCTGTTGATGTACAGCGCGCTCTCTGATCCGTTAAGCTGGCTGGCAGGTTAAAACGATCTTCCACCAGGAAACATTTACAGGATCTCATACTTATCCACAACAAATGACGTCTCGGAGGAAAATTTGACTGGACTGCCTCCTTCTATGTATGTCACCTTGGCCACCTATGGAAACAATGGATATAAAGTAATTTCCTTTCTCACTAGGGCTCAATTTCGTTGTTTTGTTTATTTGTGAAATGTTTCATAACTTGCCTGTATGTCACAAAAGTTTCGCTTGGAGACAAAAGAAACATGGATTGGGAAGAAGTCATTAGGTTTGCCATCTATACTGAACTCCAGGCTGCCACTCTTGTTTTTCTCATCGATGACAGGAAGTGACCATTCCAGGATGTTTTTCCTGCTGTCATGGTTATACTGCCCATCCAGATCACCGACCACAGGCGCACCAACACCTGACCTACATGATCACAGAAGACAGAGGTTGTTTATGGATATGGATTTTGAAGTTTATGAGTATTTTGCTAATTGAAAATTATACTTTTGAAAAAAATTATTATACATAGTTCAAATAAATGCAAAAAAAATACAAATATAAATATAAAATATATATTTATTTTCTTTTTCAACTTTTATTGTCATTTTTTTGTATTTATTTAAATTGAATGTATAATAATGTTTAAAATGTATTATATATATATATATATATATATATATATATATATATATATTAGGGATGCACGATATTGGATTTTTGCCGATATCCGATATGCCGATATTTTTCAACTCTTTTTGGCCGATAGCCGATGCCAATATATTTCCTTTTGTATGGAAACAAGTCTCTCCTGTGTGGAAAATATAAGCAAATTATTTTTAATTTTGGTTAGTTTTTAACAAGAACTTATTTGTTAGAATTATATAAACAATAATGAAGTTATTTTATAATGACAGTACATTGAAGCTTTGAAAATAACTATAAATAAACTATATATCAATCACTGCATTTTTTTTTCTCAGAAAGATGCAGTAGTAACCTTAACATTTTATTTTAAGATTTAACATTTGTAGATGGTCTAAAGCAAAAGAGTTGTAAAAATTCTGAAAATATTTTAGAGCTCATAATTTGTTTACACATTACATATTACACATTAATGAATAAATCAGTATAGGCTATACAAAATTATTTAATTTACAAGTGTCATGTTTATGATTTTTTTTTTTATTAATGTAAGCTATAGCTTCTGACCTTTAAATCAAAACATACTCATGATTTTATGACATCAATTACTGCTTTATTTAATAAGAAACAGTCTAAATGTTATTTGTGTATTTTACTTCCATTTTATTAAAAGTAGGCCAACAGCGCCCCCTACGGAATTAAAACTCCTTACCGAACGAGCATTAGGGTGCTATTACTGTTTACGCTATCACACACCAAACGCCTAATTTTGTATGTG